CTCCGGAGGACACCGTGCCCGCCTACGTGCCGGGTCTGGGGGGCGTGAAGCCTGTGGGCTTCGACGCGGGGCCCGCGGATGCCACGCACCAGGCGGGTGGGGGGCGTGGGTGGGGTGGGTGGGGTGGGTGGGGGTGGGGTGGGGGTGGGGTTGGGGGGGGACCAAGAGCTCCTTGTTCAAACAAGGGTTGTTCAAAGTCAAACAAGATCTTAACCCTGCAGGGAATTGCCTTGAACATTCAACACCTATGGACTTTTGGGCCTGCCAATAGATGTGCATAAAGCCTTCTAGTGGGCCTCTGATACGGCCCCATCCTGTTTGGGGTTAATGGATGTTGGCCGCCTTTTCTCGGCCTACCTTCTTCAATTTGCTTGCATTGGTTTTCCTTCATTTTCCCTTTCAGCCAGCACCAAACTGCAGTTTTTGTAGGTAGCAAAAGCCATGCATCTACGGTCAGGGTGGTGGAAAGGCTCAACCATTAGACGAGGCCCCCGAGGTCACCATCGCATGCGGGTCCTTCGTTGGTCAATTCAAGGCGACCCAAAAGGCGATCGCTCTTTTGAGAAAACTCGGGTCCCTTGGTTGGTGAGAGTTTGGGTGCCGCAAAGCACACACTTCTTTCTCTCGGAGGAGATCAAGGGGATTCTTTCCGAGATGGTTTGAAAATCGGATTTTTTAAATGAGCAATCCAAACACAACTCCTTAAATTATCCTATCTCAATTCCTTATACCAAATAGAGGCTCTTCAAGGGTTTCAGTTTTTGGACCCCCTCCCAGATTCAGCCCTTGTGCTCGAGGCCCTGTCCTACCACATCTACAGCTGCGGCTTTGCCATCGACACATGCAGCAGGCGCGGGGAAGTTTGGGTTGCTCCGAGCCAACGACGACAAAACACCAGGACGAAGATGATTGGTATGGTTTCTTTTCCTTTCCCTCCACCAAAGACCAACCGGGGGTGGGGAGGGGGTTCAAAACGAGGGTCCCCCCCTGTTTGTTTGCAACCAGCTTGCCCGTGGTTTGGTATGCACCACAAGGCATGGATGTCACAAGGCTTGGGGTACAGCGCCCAAAACGCCACACGGCAAAGGGCACGAGGGTGTCATTGGGAACCCCAGCCAGGGAATTCTGGTCCTTTTGGAGGGCCGCAAAGCGTGGTCGGTTTCTGCCAGTCTTTTCCCGCCTCGGCATTGCCGGCCTGAACCAAGGCCAAAAACCGGTTGTGGCCGCCAGAAGTGATATTTTGCCCTTTGCTAGGGGAGAATGCACCTTCTTGAGGGCACCCCTTTTTTTGGCGGGTTTTAGAAACCAAAAGGAAAAACCGGGTGCCCCTTTTCCAAGGATCCTTTTATAATCCTTGCAAGGTCATTCTGAATGTTTTGCTTATAAGCCAAAGGCCTGATTCTTTGAAGCAAAACGCGCAAGGGAAGGAAAAGGTGAAACCCTCTCACTCGGCCGGGTCCATTTTGGTAAAAACTGGGTGTCTGTTTTTGAGGGGACCCCTCTTTTGGTTCGTTTTAAAGGGAAACCCACAGAAAGACCGCCATGTTGTGGGGCTTTAACAAGAAGATACACGCATGTCTTGTGAAATATGACCTTTCTACATCCCTCTCACGGAACCTCGAGAGCTCGCGCGAGGAAGGGCGACCCGCCGTCGACTGACTGCCACGTGTGCGACGACATGGCCGCGTCCGCCGTGGCCGCTTGGCTGCTTGCGCCGCTTCTTTGGGGGGAGGAAAACTGGTCCCGGCAACGGAACGGAAGGACCCACCCCAAAAACACCAACAACAAGGTGTGAATAAGTTGGGCGTCATGATTGTTTTTGGCCCTGTTTGTCTTTCAGAACCCTTCAAAGCATCCCTGGCATGCTGGGCCCGCAAAAGGCATACATGATGATACATGCGTATCCTAAGACTTTAGGAAGCGTAGGATCCCGCTGGGGGGAAGGGGAGGGGAAGGCCAACTATTTCTGGGCTTGTGTTGGTGAGTTTTCTTTGGGTGGGGTGACGTCTAAGAGGAACTACCAGGAACCCAGTGAACTTTTCCCTCTCGCGGCACCCGGAGGCTGATGCTGAGCCGTTGCCAAATCTGACCTTCAAGCTTTTCTCGGGTTGATGGTATTTACGATCTCAAAGGAATAAGCTTGTATTTCTCGGTCCTTTGTGGCACTTGGGGGGCCTGACTGTTGATTGATCGCGGAGGACTTAGCTTGGTGTCAAGTCCGTGAATCCTTGAAGTGGGTTGCAACTAACCAGGGTTGTGTAAGCAGCCCCATCTATACGTTACAAGTTATAGCCAGAGTTGCTGGCCGCCGCTGTTTGTCTCCTGGAGCAACTTTGGAAAGGCTGCGATCCGTAGGCGCAGCTGTGGGAAGGACCCAGAACAGGGTTGCTCCTCCCGTTCTTGAAAATAACCAAACCTCACAAACAGTTGCAAAGAAGGGAACAAGGCAAGCCCAGAATTTACCGTAATTGACCATGAGTTTGTGGTTGAGTGGCTGGTTTACTTGCATTATTTCGGGCATCCACCGCAAGGTTTCTTTTCCCAGTGCTTTCAGTTCCGATGACGACCTGCATAGGAGTGCGAGACTTGTTGCAAACAACACCGATTGGTAGGTGTCAGCGATGGTTGAGTTGTGTCCACTTTCAAACATCAATCGAACGCTCGCTTGCTTGACCGCACGTTACGCTGAAGTTTGCACCCTCTAGGGACCTTCTTACTCCAACCTCGGCAGTGTGACATATGTTGCAAGGTAAACCTGCTACACCCTGTGGCTCCCTTTCCCCTTCTTGGATTTGCCCCAGTAGGGAGGAAACCATCTTGCAAAACCTAGAGCCTGGTGGAAACCTGGGAGGGTTGTGCTTCTTCTCTTCCAAGGTTCTACCATTCCCGGAGCATCCCTTCCGAAATTGGTAAGCTGGCAAGCAGGGAGAGAGGTTTCAGGTGCGAGCCGCGAACCCTTTGACCCCCCAATTTCACCCAGTCGTGCCCCCTTCTCTCTTCGAGCTCCCTATAAACGATCCAGAATGCATTCTCACAAACAGCACTTCTTTGTCGAGTCTGTTTGTCGAGCTCCCCAAGGGTCCCCGGTTTTTCCCAGGGCCGCTGGCCTAGGCCGCCCGCGACAGCGATGCCAAGCGCTTGGGCGGTGCTGCCTTTCTCACGGAGAGATTGACCGGGGGTCTGCGGGGGGTCTGCGGGGTCTGCCAAACAGATCGCACCCCGTGGGGGATGTGGGGGCCAGAAAGCCAAGGAAAAAAAAGCCAAGGCGTAGGGTTTTTCGCCTTCGTGTTTTTTAAGCAGCAACGTTCGGTGTCCTGTAAGGGCCGATATTTTTCGGAGAGCTAGCTGGAACCTTGCGGCATGAGCACGGCCTTTGCCAACCTCCCAAGGCAACCCAAAACATCACCCTGTGCGTCGAAACTATGAGCGACTGTTGTTGCCAGGTTTCTTTATCTAGCCAAACTGCAAACTTTTGTTGCCCAACTATAGTCTTGTAGCTTGACTTCATCGTAGGTGACGGTAGGCATCTTGATCATTTTGATCTCGGGCCAAAGCGTTTCAACTTTTTCTAGCCAGTCCACTATGCGGTGCCAGCCTCTCGGAGACTCTGGTGGGAAAAAGGGGGAAGGTCCGTTCCCCAAAGCGGATGTTTTGCTTGGGGTTGCGGCAACCTAGAACACATCCACGGAGACAAACGCATTCGGCACAGATATGCTTCTCGCTCGCACCGACCTTGTGGCTTTTGCAACCTTTCTCCATATCGATTTACGGAAGCCCGGGACGCCAACATCTGTTTTGGGAATATCCTTGAACAGGGACCCCCTTTTCAGGTATCTCTAAACATATTGCATATATTTTAGGGTAGACAAAGAAGACTAGGTAGACATTTTTCTGTGTATGTTTAAATTCCATGTTAAATTGGAGGGGAGTCTTATCGGCAAATTCTGGTTTCCGGCCAAACCGCGGTAGTTGACACCTGGCCTTTCAATGCGAAACCCCCCACTTCGGAAACCTTCTCCTTTCCAGCGGTACATTTTGAACAACTTTCCAGCGGTCGCCGACGGTAAGTACAATTTTCCCACCCGCCAGGTTTGGTAAACATTGCAAGTGACATCCGGCCCGGTCACCCACCGCATGACAGCTGTGACAGACAGGCACTGACCCAGCCGTGACAGTCCGAAGTCTGAGGCTCCATGGTTTGCACCAAGACAGCCTGGCTATTTGTACATGTATAGGCATAGATGGCCTTTTTAAGTTACTTTGGTTAGAAGTAGATGGCACTGGCTTAGATCCATTTACCAGGGCCATCTATTTTACCAAAAGGACATGTATTTTGGCAGATTGGTTCAGGCTGCTGATGTGACATGTTCAAACATGCCGCCCTTCCCAGGAGCTTTAAATTATTCTTTCTGCACCGCTTGGCTGCAGCATTTTGGAAGGGTGAAGCTGCGGGCGGTTGCTCAAAGATGTGGTAGCTTGACTGTTTGTCTGACAAAGGTTCACGTGCCAGGGGCACGTAATTACACCTCTAGAGCGCACGCGGCTCACGCTTGTGCAAGCGTGCGGCTGCTTAAACCATCATGAGCCACAAGACCCACGATGAAGAAGACTGAGACGGTAGACCTTGTCTTTTGGATGTGGCAACCTTTGAACTGTGCCGGGCAAGCGGCGTCCACTTCTTCAGCTGCTATCGGCCCATGGATGTAGTTGGATCTCAGGGCTGCTGATGATGCATCCTTCAAAAGGCTGCCAGGTCCCTCAAAGAATCGGAGTGCCCTGGATGAAGGGAACCCCCACCAAACAGGAAGCGTGATTGCGGTAACAACGCCGTTGATCAGGGGACAACGCTGCGTTGCTTCCATTTTGGTTCGGCTGAGTTTCCCCGCCGTCGGTCAGCCAGCAGCATGCCGCCCGCGCGCAGTCTGTGTGGTTGCAGCCGATTGCCGAGCATTTTTCTCAGTTGGGCATACTGCTCGAAATAGAGTGGTTTTGGTCATGACATCATACCCTTAGAATGGCTGGGGAATTTGGAGTAGGGGGCGGTAGTCTCGTTGGTCGGTGTTTAATTTTCTTTTAGAGTAGCCCAAGAAAAGGTACCATCCAAAAAGGTTCTAGTTGTACTTCCCGCATTCTTTCTGATGTGGGCCAAGTTTCCAGGAATCCAAACAGCGCAACAAGGGCGACGTCAAAACAAGTGGCGGGGAAGCCCTTGAAAGCACAGGAGTTCGGGGCGTGCTCGGGCACCGACACGTGCGTGGCGGAGATCACCCGGGTGACCGCGCCACGGCAGAAGGTAAGTGGAAGTGAAGCAGACTGAAGCCTGCAGTGGTCGGGTAGAATCACCCTAGAACATACACGTGTTTGACTGACAGAATCAACTTCCAAAAAAGGTGCTTTGGGCAAATCAGGGGTTCCTTGCAGGGAGCATGACGATCGTGACCCGCATTTGGGGGAAAGTTGGACAAAAACACGCATGGCTGGGTTTCGTCGTACTCAGGACCTGGCTGATCAGGCTCTGCACTCCTGGGCCTATTGGCAGTTCAAGTACAACCATGCAGCCTGGCGCGGGTTCCTTTGGTAGGACCCCACAACCAAACACCACTTGGCATAGATGGAGCACTGTGCTTGGTGCGAAGTGGATTTGGCTCACCCACACCACCAACCCCGCCCAGCAACCCCGCCATCCCCCCCCCAAGTCCTTGTGTCCGGGCGTCGTTTTTCCCTGGAGCTGAGGACATCACCACTGTGGCGGGGCCGGAGGAGGGCTTCTACGGGCTTGAAGGCAGGACCCTGCCTCCAACTCAAACGGGCTTCCCGCTTTGTTTCCATTTTTGCGGTGCTTCATTTGGAGTTTCACCTTTGGCTGGGTTTAAAGATCAGCTGTCGCCTGCCAGTTTGTTTGCTGAGTTCCCTTTTGGTGGGGTGATGTGTCAACAGGGGAAAATGGGGAGCCCTGACTGAATGGGGAAAACCTTCAAAAGCACCAGTGGTTTCGCTTTGGTGTTTCTGTGACACAAAGCCCAACAAAAGAGCCTTCAACACAAGCAACCATTCGTGTGCATGTGTTGGTTTCAGAGATGCAAACGCAGAGACTGTGGAAGGTTTTGGGAAACCCAGGATGGGGCCCGAGAGCAGCCTGACTACCTTCCACCCACCAGTATGGACCCCCTGTTTCAAGAAACAGTTTCGTCGGGACCCGCCCCGGCCCAGTCAGGTTCCATGTTAGTGGTGGGGGGGATCAGCTTTTCGAGAACCATAGCCTAATGAGGACAACCCTGAACCGTTTCAACCAGCTCTTTTCCAAGTGGGTGGGTTACAAGTTTTGTTTGAAGACCCTGTCCCCCTTGAAAGGGACACCACAAGCAGCTTGTGGAAATTGCTGCTCACTCAATTTCATTGTGGTTTCCTCAAAGGGACCCAGGACTTGTGTTTGCTTGGAACCAGTTCTTTCGCCCCGCCCAAATCTGAACCCGTCATTGAAACTGGCCTGCTGAGTTGACAGGCAAGAAAAAGTAACTAAACTGTTTGGCTCTAGGCTAAAATGATCGGGCCAATTCAAAAAGTCAAACACTCACAAAAAAAGGGGTCAAACATTGACTGAAACCTCACAAAAAAAAGAAGTCAATCATTGACTGAAACCTCACAAAAGTCAAAATCTTAGGGGCTGAACGGTAAGACAATGGTGCTGATCATGGCGTTCTTTCAGTGGGCATTTCTATTTGCTCCGAGGAGTTGGACCACTTCCTTGTTCGCATGTGGCTGGGCAACAGTTGTTCAAACCATTTGCTTGTTCTACGTGGTTGAATGGAGTTTGTGTTTGTTGTCTGCCTAGCCTGGCACAAGCATTCACCCTGACATGGTTGCTTGCATCTTGGTTGGTTGGTTGGCTGGCTGGCTGGCTGGCTGGCTGGCTTGCCAGCTGGCTGTGGCTGGCAGGTTGGTGGTTGGGTCGGTCGGTCGGTCGGTTTGTTTGTGGATGAAGCGTTGTGACTTGTAGGGCTTTGCTATGCAGGCTTGGGGCTACCTTGGTAGTTATCTTCAGGTTGCCTCAGGGCAAGGTTCCGGAGGTAAAGAGTTGAATCAGAGTGGGGCTGGTACTACTAATTACTCCAGACAGGATCGGGTTCTGTGAGGCGCAGAGCAGTGCCAGGGTTAGGCCTGAGCAATGATTAGGTAAAACAACGCGCTAGCCGCGATCAAATCAACCCATCCAAAATGGAATTGGTGCCAGGTGTTGCCCCGTGGACATGCATCCACTGGGCATTCCGAGTCAATACATTGAATCTCTCCGGATCTTTGTGGACAATGGTTTTTCACCTTGATAGCCCCTTCCGACAAACATGGTCTTGCCCGGTGCTCAGGTTCCTTTTGATTGATGGGGTTCAGATCGCACCAACTCTGCAAGGCCAGTTGCAGGAGAAGAAGGTGGCAGCGCTTTCCCGGACCTTTGTACCTTGATCTAATGGAGTGGACGTGTGTCTCAAAATAGGGGAACCCAGAACATTTCCTAAGCCTGCTGATTGTTTCCAGCCATCAAAATGAGGGCTCGAGGTTCTTCATTGGGAGCCAGGAAAATGCGTGCTACGAAGGGAGGTGCTTGGGTTTCCAAGAAATTGCTGCAGCAGGAAAGGGAGTAACCTGTTCATAGTGCATTCCATGACCTAGGGGCCCCAGGTAGGGGTTTGTGGTATTTGAAACGAAGAGAGAGGAGGAGTTTTACGAGCTCCTCTGATCAGCTTGCTGCATCGGAAGGAGTGCCTGCCTGGTGTATACTGACCTCCAGTGCCCTATTCCATGAATTTCCTTAGGGGGGTCGCCCTCTAAATTCAGCGTACCCAACAAAGGCGCCCATTTTTGCGCACGGCCACTGCCTCCGTGCGATTTTTTCTCTCACGCGTCCCTGTTTAGGCTGTGTGTGTGTGTTCTGCCAAGGGACCGAGACCTCTTGAACACTGGCAGGTTGGTCGATCGTTGGAAACCCTCTCCTCCAAACACCGGCCTTAAATTCAGTTGGCGCGTTTCCATAAGTTGAGGTCCCAGTGCAAATACATTCCTTCTTTAGCTAGGGCTTGAACTGCGGGATAAGATGTTGTTTGGCAACACCAGCCCAAACCAATAGCCTCGGGGGAAATCCCTTTCTCCGTCGAATCGAAATAATTTGCCAGCCCCCAAGCCACGCTCGGACGTCCAAAATTGGGGCCTTCGCCCATACTGTTTGTCTATTGATATTTTAAAGGGCTAAATACGAAACATCTGAAGAACAAAGAAGCAAAAAGAGAAGAAGAAAAAACACAATGGTCATACCCCGAGGTTGTGGGGTTGGGAAAACCAACTTTCAGACCAAGGCGCCTTACATTGCCGGTCGCCCTACTGCCATGCGCTACAGCGACACGGGCGCCTTTCGGCTGAGCTATGCTCCATGGCAGAAACCGGACTGGCCATGGGCTCACGGGAGAACCAACAAAGGCTGCTCTGAGCCTTCGAAACATCAACTTTCAAGGGTAGAAAATTGGTTTGGTTTCATAGCTGGGTGACTCAATCAACTCATCCTTAAACTTTCAATCGATTTTATTCGTAGCTAAATAACTCAAATCAACCCATCCTCAAACATCCTTAAGATGGTGGCTTCTCTTGCCGTTGTGGCCCACGGAATCGTACTTGAGTTCGGGACCCCCGAACTGGAACAACCCAGTAAAGGACGAGAGGTAAAGGGATTGAGCAACCAGTTAGCTACATAAATTTGTGGTTTCCTTTTCGAGAGGTCAAAGTTCGGTTGCTGAAACGACTTGTCCAAACCCTGAAAACGAGCTTGTTGAAGCGCTTTGGCAGGTTTTGTCCCTGTCAGCACGGCTCGACGAAGCTGGGGGGCGGAAGTTGCAAAGCACACGAAGCCACTAAAGCACACAATGCACATGCAACGCATTCTTGCGCACCTTTGTTCAGTTTTTTTTCTCTTTCACGTGCATGCATGTGCGTTGGGGGTTTCAAAGTCCGTGCACACTTTGACAATTCACGCCATGCCTTCACATACATTTTGGCCAGTCACTCTCGAGGTGCTTGAGAGTGCCACGCGCGGCTTGACCACAGAGATCTACCTGAACGAGCGCCCTCGCTGAATTGGATGTGTTCTTTACTGGGGACAATTATATGAGGGGTTTATAATGCCAACTGTTCCCTCACTGACAAATCTCATCGGCCAGTTCTGGGCGTAGGGGCCCCATGCCACAAAGGCCTTAGATACATTCTGGATGCATCCTGGGAGAATCCCTATTCGCCAAAGCGACGCCAGGTTTCTACCCAGGGGTATTCGGCTAATCCCGACGAAACCAGGCTGAGACTTGTTGATTCCGCCTCTGAAAAGAATCAGGCGGAGCACTTTCACCAGAGCCGAAAGAAGAGGGGGCCCCGGTGTGCTACGACTAGTTGGGGACAACACCACCATCTCTGGGTTTTCAGCTCAACCTGGAGCGGACTAACAGGTTTGCTCCCATCCAAACAAGGACAGGGTCGAACGCATGTTGGGTCCCTTTGTGTCCTTTTGTCTCTGCTCCTGGGCCAAACGTCCAATCCTCGCTTCTAGGAAAATGAACTATCCCTCGGGCTTCCGCGTGCATGTGCTCAACGGCACGGCCTCCAGCGGTGCTGGCCGCGTGCAGGACAGCGGGTGAGACGCGAAGCGTGTGGGTTGACCAAGACAAGCCATGGCTCCACCTTGAAACCATGGGCAACGGGCTGTTTGACCAATCGGCTTCATATGCATGGTAAACCAGTAGCTAGTACATGGGAAGTTGGAGGGGTTTTTGTTTGTCCTCCTAGCTTTATGGGAATAAGCTCTAGGCCTTTTTTGCCCAGGTCCTTTGGGCAACTGAGCTTGGATGAGTTGATTTGCGAGTGGTCATTGCCAGTGGCGTTCTGCGATTACAAACCAGGTGCTCTAAGAATGAGTAAATTGACTGCCTGCCTGCCTGCCTGCCTGCCTGCCTGCCTGCCTGACTGACTG